AATTTAGGGAAAGTCTTCTACTTAGCACATTCTAGAAAGTCCCTCACAGACTTGCCTGAGGGTTTATCTGTAAGGTAATACTAGGTCCTGTCAAACTGACAGTCAATGTTAACCATCATACCCCTGCATTTCAAAGTGCTACATGTGTTAACAGTCATCTCTCAGTAAAGGCTAAAGCTGTGAACACAAGCATCTGCTTCCTTCCTAAGTCTTTCCCTCTTCTAGCGCTTCCTTGCTCAGCTGCTCCAGAGTCTGTATTTTTCTGCAGCTCACGCATCCATATCTTTGTAAGATCTCCACATAATTAGACATCATCTTTAATAACAGGCAGCTCTCAGCTAATTTGCCTGAAGGATGAATTCTGAGACACTAATGGAGGTAGAAGCATATATGTGCTTTTGTAACAGAGTGTAGTTGGGCACACATCTTTGTGAACAGTGATGTACTTCATGATGAAATCTCAGGCACCTATGCCAAGAGTTGCCTAGCAATGGGAGGGTACTTTGGAGGGATCCTCGGAGGATCACATCTATACTATATGGCAGACCTTTTAGCTTGTTTTGTGCTTTTCTTGCAGTGTCACCTTGGGAAAATCTTTTGACCTCAAGGTTATAGTTTCTTCATCTGAAAATGGAAAATGATATCAAAGTCTTTTCTTATCACTCTGTATACCATGTTGTAGGGACAATGGTTGGTTCTCTTACTGTAGAAAGCAGTGCTGACTTTGCTCCACTCAAGATTATTAAATAAATCCGCATTGAGCCTTTCTCCATGGTACATGAGCTGTACAGAGGGTCCATGTCCTCCTTCAAGGACCTGTCAGTGAATTCTGACTGCAGCTTTGGTTCTTTCTTGAGTTTCTCATTAGATGATAGAGAAATTCAGCTTGTGAGTCATGAGATTCAGGCTCTGTGTTCCATGGAACAGGTTACAGATGAGTAGACTTAGTTTGGTCTGGTAGATGTTAGCCTTCTGATTTTCCTTTAGTCTTTAAACTGTGGATAATTCATGGTTGGATTTGAGGCCCACTCAACAGAACTGAATTCACATTTGGTACTATAAACCTGGTTAAAAGCCCATGGCTAGGGAAGTCGTGGGTACCAGTGAACAAGCTAGTTAACTACTGTTGTTGTTTGCTAAATAGACTTGGTATGTCCAACAGATCACCTTCCAAATATTTTTGTTTCTGCCCATAGATGAGTTCTGCTGTCAGCTTTAGTCAGAAAGCTTCTTTTTTCAATGGTGACTGAAGACTCATAACTGTTCAAAGTGCTAAGAATAAATGACTGTTGACTAAGGGAAGGTTGACGACCTATCTTTCTGATGGACCTGATGTGCTTAGTATGTGGAGTGTGAATGTTCAAGGGAAGCCCCTGTGCACCTGAACCCTGGCAGTCCTAAAGGGTAAGACTGCATCATCCCTGGGTAGCTGAGACTCAGTGTACTGTGGCTTCTTAGTTATTTTTGGGCAGAGTTCACGGATAAGCTGTTAGACAGGACCTGGTCATGATACCAGCCCTGCCCCCATAGGGAGCACTGTACTTTCCTTTTGAGCTCTTAGGTTGGGGGAATCAGTTATCTCTAAGACAACAGCCTAGGTGTCAAGACCCAGCTTCTCTACAAACACCCAGCTTTATGCTTCATTGTGAGATCCTAGGATGTCTAGGGAAAAATGTGCATAAGGAGAACATTGGATCTGTGCAAGGAATCAAAAGCTTACTAGAAGGTGCATACCTGTGGGCAGGAATGTCTTCCTCCCACTCTTATGGAGTCAAACATAATAGATGCAACATAAACAATGAATTTTGCAGTTCCTATGGCAACTGAGCACAGTACGATGCATCCAGTGTTTCTATAGCTCCCAGGACTGATGCTAATAACAGACTCCTATGTAGCACTATCTGTGTGCCTTTTTACACTTATAACTCATTTAATTCTGTGGCAACCTTATAGGTAGATTTGGTTTTCTCTCTTAGTTTTTCAGAGGGGAGACTGAGGCAGATGACAGTGAAGCAACAAGTTCTAGGTGGTACAACTGGCTGGGACACTGGAGTACCTTGTGGTCCTGACTTGTCAGGCAGGGATCCAAGGGATAACTGCCCCTCTTGATTTATCTTGGAGCTTCCTGACCGGAACTGGGCTTATTCATACTTGAGTGAACTGGGATGATCCTGGGTGGACGTGGGTGAGCCTGACTAGCTTCCTAGGCTGTTTACAGCTCTCAATTACTGGGGAATTTTTTTTTTAATTTTAAAAGAATGTCTGGAGTTCACCATAGGTTCCAGTGGCTCATCTTCTTTAATAGATACCATTGAAGGTTTGTGTGTTGGTCCAAGTGACCATCACATATATAATGAGAACAAAATGCAGTCAGATTGAAAAGAAATTATGAAAAAGAAAAGAACTTGCAGCATTACTACTCCAAGATTATAGTTACCTAAACAGAAAAACCTGACTCTTAAATTTAGGTTTTAAAAGTGGGCCTGAACTCAGAGGCCAGTCATACCCCGAGATGTCTCTTGGAACTGTGCTGATGGAACTTTCCCTGGAACTCTGTTTCTGGAACTGTGAGTCAGGCCCCACCCCTAGTTTTATTCAAAATTCTTTCTGCAACTTCAATTGAGAAAGTACAAGCTTAGCTCCACTCTGATGTGAACAGACCTTTCTGCCTTTTGATCCCGAGTTCTAGAATATCTCATTCCCCCTAGGTTATACATCCTTCCTGATCCTCACTGTTTTGATATGTTAACTCTCAAGCATACCCTTATTCAATCATTAATTCATTCATTGTCTTTTGGAGGCTACTAAATTGAGGTTGCCATGGAAATAAGATCGGGTGCCCAGGTCACAAGACACAAGAACATATAGTTTTGCTGGGGTTAATTAAAAGTCCAGATTATTATAAAAGTCCTTCATACAATAATGAAAATGATATGAATTTATTATATATCCTGTCTTTTAACAAAAGATAATTCAGATCAGTTATGCAAAGGGACACTCAAATTGGAGTAAAGGAAACAAAGTAGCCTTGGAAACAAGGATTAGACTGTAACAGTGTTGCAGGAACTCATTTGGCTCTGAGCTTTCCTGAGAAATCTAAGCAGCCTTCCTAGGTGCCAGTGTGCACCAATAAAGGCCTGGAGAAGCAGGGGTGACAGTGGGGATGGGGTACAAGAGTGGAGACAGGCATCAGCTGCCCAAAAATAGCCCAGGGGAGAAATAGTGTTTATAGTTAGAAAGGCTGTTGTTGAGCTGAATTATTTGCTCGGGATGTCTAGTGAGGTTGTGCAAAAATCCTCATCTTTTGTTAACATCTCTAAGTTGATCAATGTTTCAGTCCCATGTTCTTGCCTTAGGATAAACAGGGCACTTAATGCCTCTAAGTGTCCATTTTACCGGAATCTCGTACACTTTGATTTCAGATTTGGATTTGACTGCATGAGCAATCATCTTTCATGATAATAATAAAAATATCTCTTTACATAAAATTTATCAGTTATAATTCATCTCTTTATTACATAAATGGTATTTTTAAATGCTCTTGTGAAGCTAGAAGTAAGAAGACCATTCTGGAGTCAGGCCAGCATGCATTGCTCTTGAAGAAAGAAGGGAAGGGTTTAGGAAGGATTTTCTTTTATAATATATTCCTGGGTAATGCTGTTGATGCGTCTTTACAGTATTTGTTTTAGGACCCTTCTGTTGGAGTGTGGAGAGTGAGCAAGTCTTGGTCCAGGTTGGATCTCAGGCCAGCAATGCCTTGGATTTCTGTGTTGGTCGTTTCTTTACTCCTGCCTTTTAGAAAACAGTAAGAAACCAGTTCCCAGGGCCAGCTATTTCCATTTGCTTCTCATGTCTCCTCCTCCTAACACCTCAATGAGGAAGGCCATCAAATGAAGGCAACTGTTTCAGTGCAGGACCCAGAATAGAGATGGTATATGGTGAAGAAAGGCACTTAGATGCCTGGAACTGTCCTTGGGGCCATCAGGAAGTGGCATTCACATCTGTGTGGATGACACACTTTTAGATTAAAAGCCTTTAAGATCGAAGCTCAAACCTATCCCTTTGTCTGCCTCCCAGCAGGCCTATTAAGTTAGTATCTGTTGAGCAAGTCCCTCTCCTCCATCTCTCTCCTGAACCTCTACCTACTCCAGGTTCTGCCCCCCTCCCCACTAAACCACTGTTCCTTGAATTGGCAGGGGACTTCCAGTTGTTGGATTCCATAGCCTCATCTCACCTGATCAGTGATCTGATTCAGTCTTCCTCTGGCAACTGGCTTTTCTTGTCTGTTAACCTTGATGCTTGGTTCTCCACTCCTACTCTCCTGCCACAGGGCTCTAAGAATGTTTTCCCAGGGAATGGAAAGGCTTAACCATCCCAGCCTTTTATCTCTAACATTCATGATGACATTGAACCCCATAGCCTTAATCCACTGGTTATTACCCTCACCCATGCTGGGACATCTCAGGAGTTCAGAAATGCTGCAGTTGTCATCAACCCCAGGGGACAAACAAATCCATAAAGCCATCTGCAACACAGTGAACTTGTCCATTTATCTTTAGTGCTTTAAGATCATTGCTCCAAATTGGAAAGAGTTTGTTAAATATGCCTGCACATAGAAGGCTAGGAGCAGCATTATAGATGGCCTCAAAAGTCTTGCTATGTGGTGGAAGTTGTCTGCTGTGTCTAATTCCTCTGCCTTGTCGGCATTCCAGCTACTGTGTAGGCTGTAGTAAGTTCAACCAGTTTGGGACTAATTCTTGGTTATCATTGCAATTATTTGTGGGGGAGTGTATCTTAACATTTCATAAATAAGAAATATGTCTACATTTTCACAAAATTCACTCAGAGTGTAAGAGCAATTAGAATGGCTTTGAAAAGCCCTTTTGAGTAGTGGGGCAGCTGAATACTAGATAGGCTTTTCTAATTGTGCTAAGAGTCTAGTGTTTTCTTCTCTGTGTAATGATCATGTGCATCATGGCTTGTCTCTTTTTGTTTTCTAGACATTCTAAGTGAAATCCTTCAAGTCATCTGTGATAATGGTGGCCCTGTCTTTAAAAATCTGTGTCCGCCACTGCAATGTGGTGAAGACCATGCAGTTTGAGCCATCTACAGCTGTGTATGATGCCTGTCGACTCATTCGGGAACGGGTACCTGAGGCACAAACCGGGCAAGGTGGGTCACAGTTACTCACTGGTTTCTGAAAATGTGCCTAGATATTCTATAGTAGCTAAACAGACAGAGGCTCTGTATGGTTCACATGCCTACACACAATTAAAATGTGTGTTTTGAATGAAATACCTTCCTGCACTACTCCCTGCCTGAGACTTGTAATGTCAGTAATTGCACTAACCCTGAGTATCCAATGTGGGCATACCTGTCATCCCTTCGTCACATGTATGAACATGGTCTGCCATCATCAGGGCCAAGGCAAGTCTTATAGGAGCTTCATGAATTTTGTCTCAATCTTTTTGATTGTTTTTATTTTTTGAGACAATCTACCTATAACCCTGACTGACCTACAGCTAACTATGTAGACCAGGCTGGCTTCAATCTCACAGAGATCTGCCTGCCTCTGCCTCCCAGGTTCCCAAGTGCTGGAATTAAAAGCATGTGCCACCACACGTGGCTGCTTCAATTTTTTTAAAGATTTATTTTATTTTATTTTTTAATATTTTATTTATTATTTTTATTTTATGTGTATGAGTATATTGCCTGTATGTATGTGAGGTCACTGGTGCTGTTCAATGCTGTGGAGCTCAGAAGAGGACTTTGGATTCCCCTGGAACTGGAGTTAAGGATGGTTCGTAGAGAGAGAGAGAGAGAGAGAGAGAGAGAGAGAGAGAGAGAGAGAGAGAGAGTGTGTGTGTGTGTGTGTGTGTGTGTGTGTAGGATATGTGAGTGCAGGTACTCACAGACTTTAGAAGAGGGTGCTGAGCTGCTCAACATGAGTGCTAGGAACCAAACTTGGGTTCTCTGCAAAAATAGCATGTGCTCTTGACCAGTGAGGCATCTCTCAAGTCCCTTGCCTCAGTTTTTTTGGAAGATCATTTGTGGTATATTTTATCTGGTTTCTAATTAAGCCATTAAACGAAAGCCATTCAATTCAACTCACAGACTTTAGAAGAGGGTGCTGAGCTGCTCAACATGAGTGCTAGGAACCAAACTTGGGTTCTCTGCAAAAATAGCATGTGCTCTTGACCAGTGAGGCATCTCTCAAGTCCCTTGCCTCAGTTTTTTTGGAAGATCATTTGTGGTATATTTTATCTGGTTTCTAATTAAGCCATTAAACGAAAGCCATTCAATTCAACCAGTTGACTTTCCCTTCCCCTTCCATCTTCCCTTTTCCTTCCCTTGATTACATGTTGACATGACTGACAATTGAGAAATAACTTTTTAAAAAATATTTTATTATTTTTATTTTATATGTATGAGTGTATTGCCTGCATGCGTGTGAGTGCATCCGTGTCGGGCAGTGCTGGCAAAGTCAGAAGGCGGCGTCGGATTCCCCTGGAACTGAAGTTACAAGTGGTTGTTAGTCACTGTGTGGGTGCTGGGAATCAAACCTGGGTCCTTTGTAAGATCTGCCAGTGCTCTCAACCAGTGGACCATCTCTCCAGCCCCAAGTTTGTTTTTTTCTGAGGCAAGGTCTCACTCTGTAGCCATGGCTAGCCTTGAACTCACTATGTAGACCAGGTTGACTTCAAACTCACAGAGATCTACCTGCCTCTTGACTCCCTTGTGGTGGGATTACATACATATGCTACCACACCTGTCCAGACTTTGGAATGAAAGTGAATAAAACTTACTCTAAATTATAAGTTTGGGCTGAGAGATGACTCTGGTTAAGAGCACTACCTGTTCTTGCAGAAAACTCAGGTTTGGTTCCCAGCACCCACATGGCAGCTACCAACTGTCCTTAACTACAGTTGCATGGGATCCAACAACCTCTTGGCTTCTGCTGGCATTGCTTGTACATGGTACAGTTACATATATTCAGGCAATATACTCATACACATAAAATAAAATTAAAAATTTTAAATTGGAAGGATATGAACCAGACAGGATGTTTGGGGGTTTTAATTACTAATAGGAACAAATATTTTTTAAATATTTGATTTTCAGGGACTAAAGAGATGGCTCAGCAGTTAAGAGCACTTGGTGCTCTTACAGAGAACCCAGGTTCAGTTCCCAGAACCCATATGGCAGCTAAAAGCCATCTGTAACTCCCATTCCAGAGGATCTGTTGCCTTTTCTGGTCTCAGTGGGCACCAGGCTTACATGTGCTACTTATGTATACATGCAGACAAAATACTCATACATATGGGGCTGGAGAGATGGACCAGCAGTTAAGAACACTGGCTGTTCTTGCAGAAGACCTGGGTTTGAATCCCAGCACCCACATGGCAGCTAACCACTGTCTGTAACTCCAGTTCCAGGGGATCCGAGAGCCTCTTTTGTCCTCCGTGGGCACTGCACAACACAGGTGCACTTACCTACATGCAGGCTATACATGCATGCACATAAAATAAAAATAATAAATAAAGTATAAAAAATGAAATCTTTTTAAAAATCTTATTGTCACAAAACTTCTAGTACTATGGTGTGAAAGCATTATTTATAATATATAAAATGCTGTGTTATTTCTTGATTATCCAGAAATTAATATATGCCAACATACTTGTCTAGTCTTACTAATTCTTTTACTTTTCAGTTTTCTTACACTTTTAACTTTTTTGTTTGGATTGATACAAAGCCTGGTGACAGCCTCTAAAGATTCCAAAGTCATTTTCCTGAGAGCCTACTGGAACTTTGACCCTCTGCAGGACACTGAGGTTTCCTCAGTCACGTTAAGGAAAGGATAGGCTTGAGGAGGTGGCTCAATTTGATAAGGGACCATAAGGCGCATACTGCATAAGCCTGAGGATCTTTCCCAGAATCTGTTTTTTAAAAAATTGGACATGATGATGTATGTTTATAAGCTCAGCACTGGGAAAGAGGAAATAGGGAGATCCCTAGGGATCAGGCCAGTGAGAGACTCTCTCTCAAAAAACAAGGTGGATGTGTCCTGAGGAATGATCCCTGAGGTTGACCTCTGGTCTCTACATGCATATGTGTGCACACCTCCCGACCCTACACACAAGAAGGAGAAAAGTCTGGTTGAGAAATGACCCTGATCCTCTCCTGCCTCCAACCTCCTTTGGACTCACTACATAGGATTCAGAGGGTTTTAGAAGGTTTATATGAAGAACATGAAAGTTTAACTTTCCAACTGTTTTTCTTACTTGCTGGTGGCTAGAGACAGAAGACTCATCTCACGAGGAAGTCCTACACATCTTGTTTTCTTTTATTGCAAGGTCCTTGCCATGTAATCCAGGCTGGCTTCCAACTCATAATCTTCATGCCTCAGCTTCCCAAGTGCTGATTACAGAGCAATCACCTCCTCTCTCAGTACACCAGTCTTTTATATGGCACCTTTGCCTATGCGGTTCTGGACTTAGGAGGTTACTGCCTCAGTTTCTTCAGGGCTCTCTTGTCATTCTCCATCAGTACCTGGCTAGGTGAGGCTTTGACAGCAAGGGCCAGAGAACAAAGTCACACTCAGTTAAAAATGTGGACTACTTTGTTCCTTGTGATTCTCTAAACTGTAGGCACACCTGTGGTCCCTAAGCATGAAGCTTGCTGTGGACATTGTTGAGTCTGCTTGACTCTTCCTCCTGTCCGACTGTTTCAGTAAGGGTGGGTGATGCGGTGCTGTGGGACAGGAACAGATCTTGCTGGTAAAGGACAATGCCCCTATCTTTCCTGAGTCAGTGGGCTTGGACCAGTGATGGCTTTGTCCCCACTTGGCCTCCTCTTTTTCTCTCTGTTTACATTCCAGCTTCTGACTATGGGCTGTTTCTCTCTGATGAAGACCCCAGAAAAGGGATTTGGCTGGAAGCAGGAAGAACACTAGATTACTACATGCTGCGGAATGGAGTATGTTGTTGGTCCTAGTTTCTTTTAAAATTGTGATCCCATTTATTGATTTATTATGTATTTATTTTCTCCGTGTGTGTGTGTGGTGTGTGTGTGTGTGTGTGTGTGTGTGTGTGTGTGT